AACTAAAATCAGGAATTGAAATGATTGAATTTGGAATCCAGTCATGGTACATACCTTGAATCAATCATAAAAAGTCAATACTAAACACTTCAAATACTGCAGTGCATAGATCAGTCATAAAAACATTAGTATAAGACATAAGGAAATTTAATGTAGAATATGTTGGACTAGGGGGTAGTTTCTCCAAACATTGCAAGCGGCTACAAAACCAAAACATTTAACCCTAAATACTCAGGTCATGTTTTTCATTATCATTATCCTTCGACCTCCCTATGGTTGGTCAGAACTCCATTGACATTGTTCGGTTTCGTATTGCTGTCTCCTGATCCATAATGTCCAACCCTGAGTCCTAAGCTGTGGTGTCTGAGAAAGTCAATTTTTGCAGGAAGACACATCCAGAAGGATGCCATAGTAGTAAGGATGAGAATTTCCCTGTCTGCTCAGTGGCAGGCAAACTGTAATTGTTTTTCTTTGAGCTTAAGAGAGAATGGTCTCAGTTCTCTGTAAAGCATTAAGCATTGCATGGAATCTCCAACAGGTGCACTGTATTTTTCTAAGTAGATTCGTATATGTTCTATCAAGTCACCTTTCAAGGTCAATGGATAATGTCCAAGTTTCTGATCCATACAGTAGGACTGGTTTAATCAATTTTCAAAAGGTTTGGTCTTTTGAGGCTGGAAGGTTTGAGCACCAAATTTTGTAAAGTCTGTTACATGCATCCCATGCAAGAGCTTATGTTCTTAAATAGCCTCTCAGATTAAGACTAGCATACAGATGTCACGCATGGCACCCAACTTGTTCAGAAATGTCTAAGCTATCAGCTATATACAACTATTTTCTCAAATCAATCGTTAAAAACTGCTTCAAGTGAATTTAGACATGAAAGAAGAATCCTTCATCAGATATCAGTTTCGATTGAATGATTTCATTTATACAGCTTATCAAGCTGGGTTATTTAAAAACCAGAAAATATTTTTAGACTGTCATTTTTTTTTTTTAATAATCATGGTTTAGTAATACAAGTCTTATTAATTAACCCATAGTGGAGGGAGTAGGAGATGTGGATTCATAACTAAACGGGAATTGAAACTCTGCTTTAACATGGCATCCAAATTGTTCAGAAACGTCTAAGCTATTAGATATATACAACTGTTTTCTCAGATGAAGGATTTAAAATATTCTTAGGTGTCTGTTGGCATGAAAGATTCTCCATTAGATATCACAGTCTTGAACAATTTGATTTTTATGTAACTGTCTATATTTCTGAGATGAGGTATTATTTACATTATTCAGACTATTGTCCTCATCTTTGTCACCATATTATTAAGTTTCGGCCATTGTACGCTTTGGCCTTCTTCAGTATCTGTCTATATTTCTGAGATGAGGTATTATGTACATTATTTACATTATTCAGACTATTTTCCTCATCTTTGTCACCATATTTATTACGTTTCGGCCGTTGTACACTCCAACCTTCTTCAGGTGGTTGGAATGTCTAACCCTTTATTTCGCTCACTGTAAGAAATATTACGGGATTGTGATAGCAGAAGGCTTATATTAGTGAAAACTTGATAGAGTTTTATTTCCTCCCAGTATATCTCATAATGGAGACATTTTTTATCTGGATTATGAAACACTGATCCCAACATAACAGTTGCGTCATACGAATCAGATTTTATGCTAAACAGTTCTCTTACAGGACTTCATGACACATCCATATATTTTTCCCCCCACTTTTTCAATTTCTTTTTTCTTCAAAAAGAACATATTGACAAATCTATTTACTCTAAAATAAAAAATAAAATAAATAAATGGTTTAATTTCCATTGTCAGGAAACAAAAACTTGCAGGGAGAGGCCGAGGAGAATTTGTGTGCCATTCTGTAAAGCTAAAAAAAAAAAAAAAAAAAAAAAAAAAAAAATCCATTCTAGTCAAAAAGTCTGTTGTCGTTTGTCAATAACTGTACCAGTAATGTATTCACATCTCTCTCACGTTTCAACCTTTGCAATGCCTGAAACCAGCAAAAGGGTAAAGCGTGAATCCGACTTGAAGACAAAAGCTCGTCTTACCACAATTTCTAAAGAGCTCATTTTTATTTGTTTGCACACTAAAATATAAAAAGGTCATTATTGTTCACCGGCAAATAGGAGAACAGACAAGTCATTTGCTTTTGCTAGTATGTACATAATTTAACCAGCCCATTACTTATTACATACAGTATACAGGGCAATTACAAAAAATATCGACACTTCCATTGTAATTTGTCAGAATTTCTAGGATGAAGATTTATCATTTACATGGAGGCAATCGCCTAGAGCAATGATTCTCAACCTCTGTACCACAGCACGCTGGTGTGCCATATGATCCTCTTAAGCGTGTTGTGAAATAGTGTCACCGAAAAGTATAATTGGATTTACATATTGGACTTCAGTTATGAGAAGAATTGGCCACCATTTTTAGTGATCAAGGGCTCAAAATAAAATATTCGATGGTAGCCATTGATACATTTTGGATTTCAATACAAAAGGAATATCCCACATTAGCTAAAAAGGGGTTATCAATTTTATTGCTATTTTCAACCTCCCAGTCTTAAATAACATCAAAAATAAGAATCAAGAAAGCCTACACAATTCAATGAGGGTCTGCTTATCACATATTCAACCAAACATTGAAGAAATTCCAAAAAAAAAAAAAAAAAAAAAAAAAAAAAAATACCAAGTACATAGCTGCACAAATAGATGAATAGAAACATTGAAATAAAGTAAATTCATATATTTCTGTGCATTTTTTTTTTTTAAATTTAAATCTATGGTTTTTAACATTCAAATGTATACACTTTAAAATTTTGTTAAGTGTGCCATGATATTTTCATTTGCTCCAAGATGTGCCATTCTTTAAAAAATTGGCATAGAGGTTTAAAATATTGGTTCATGAATTGGATAGCATAGTGATTGTGAGTTCAATCCCCGAGCTGGGTAGTACAGTTAGTTGTTTTCGTAACATATCAACGTCTATAGGTTATTTAATGCTGAAATCTAAATATTTTGTACACGAATGTATTTTATTTTTGAATATAATAGTTTAGTAATACAAATTTTAATAGTTAACCCATAGGTAGATGGGAGTAGAGTGTGTGTGTGTGTGTGTATATATATATATATATATATATATATATATATATATGTGTGTGTGCGCGCAAGTAGTAACAGTACAGCATTAGTATTTTACTAAATAAACTGCACAAATATCAGGTCATCCCATAAGTTCTGTCCGAATTTTAACTTTTTGTTAAAATGAACGAAATTTAAAGAGTATTTTATAATGTCTAATGGAGCTGAACATTATTTTTATGTTTAGATGCAATTAAACTGATCAAATTTTATTTTAGAGAACAAAAAAATTAAATTTTGTTTGATTAAAACCCTGCTAACATGGAAGTACCCAAGAATCATTTGAGGCACATAATGCTTTATGAGTTCAAGAAAGGAAATTCAGCAGCCAGGCGGCTAGAAACATTCACTCAGTTTATGGAGAGGAATGTGTGAATGAAAAGAACTTGCAGAAGATGGTTTGCAAAATTCAGAGGTGGAGATTTCACCCTTGAAGATGAAGATCGAACCGGACGTCCAGTTGAGTTTGATGAAAAGCTTCCTGAAGCAGCCCTTGAAGAAAATCCTGCTTTATCAGTTGAGGAATTGGCAGTAGTTCTCAGTTCAAACCATACAACTGTTCATCATCATCTTCAACAACTTGGAAAAGTTCCTAAACTTTGAAAATGGGTGCCTCATGAATTGCCTGAAAACAACCTCAAATCCCAAGTTGACATCTGCTCTTCTCTCCATTCTCGCCAACTTGTTTCACCTTTTTTAGATAGACTTGTGACGAAAAATGGATCTTTTATTGAAATGTTAAGCTTCGTAAAGAGGAAGGACCCCAGCCACAGCCAAGAAGGGAACTTCAAGGGCAAAAGGTTCTTTCAATCTGGTGGGATTGCCAAGGAATAATCCACTTCGAATTCTTACCACCTAATGCAGCAATTAATGCTCAAATATACTGTCAGCAATAAGAGCATTTGAACCAAGCTTTGAGGAAAAAAAGGACCTGCTCTAGTGAATCGAAAAGAGGTGATGTTTCATCAGGACAATGCGTGACCCCACACGGCAAGAATCACATCACAAAAGATCAAAGAACTTGGTTGGGAGAAAATTCCTCATCCATCTTATTCTCCCGATCTTGCTCCTTCAGACTACCATTTGTTTCATAGCTTACAGAATCATTTGGAAGAAACAGCTTTTGTAACACCGGAAGAGGTTAAAACTGACATTTGTGAGTTCTTCGAATCAAAGCCAAAAGAATTTTACAGTAATGGAATTAGTAAGCTTGTTAATAGATGGAAGGAAGTCATAGATAATCAGAGAAAATACATTGTTGATTGAATCTGTAATTAAATGTAACATTTAGTTACTTGTTTTCTTTATTCAAAATTTGGACAGAACTTATGGGATGACCTGATAATTGAATCATTGAAATAAAGTAAATTTATATTTGTGGGTGTATTTTTTTTTTTATTTTTTTTTAAATACATGGTGCTGTGATATTTTCATTTGCTCCTAGGTGTGCCGTTGCTTAAAAAGGTTGAGGAACATTGTCCTAGAGGTTTAAAGTATTGGTTCATGAATTGGATAGCATAGTGATTGTGAGTTCAATCCCTGGGCTGGGTAGTACAGTTGTTGGTTGTTTTTGTTTTAGCAGCATATCCACATCTATGGGTTATTTAATGCTGAAATGTAAATATTTTTTATACACATTTTATTTTTGAAGATAAAAATGGTTAAGTTTTAAGAGTTAACCCATATCTAGAGAGGGAGAAGAGGTGAATTCATACCTTCTCAGAAGCATTTGTGCGGAAGTGAATATAACAAACCCAACAAGAATTGAATAACTGACCTCCAATTAACAATTCCAAGCCATAATCCACTAAAACATCCGCAAATCCAACCTTACAGCACCTGGTATTCCCAGGTGGTCACCCATCTAGGTACTGACCAGGCTCAACATTGCTTAACTCTGGTGATTGTATGGAAACCAGGTGGGTAGTCCACAGTGAAAATAGGGCAAGCAATAAGAAAAATAAAACAGAAAAGAAAAAGAAAAGAAAGAAGTGAAAAAGAAAGAAAGAAGTGAAAAAGAAAGAAAGAAGTGAAAAAGAAAGAAAGAAGTGAAAAAGAAAGAAAGAAGTGAAAAAGAAAGAAAGAAGTGAAAAAGAAAGAAAGAAGTGAAAAAGAAAGAAAAAGAAAGAAAGAAAAAAAAGAAAGAAAAGAAAGAAAGAAAAAAAAAAAGAAAGAAGTGTGAAAAAAGAAGTGAAAAAAAAGAAAAAGGAAAAGAAAAAAAAAGTGAAAAAAAGAAAGAAAAAAGAAAGAAAAAAGAAAGAAAGAAAAAAGAAAAAGTGAAAAAAAGAAAGTGAAAAAGAAAGAAAGAAGAAAAAATAAAAAGAAAGTGAAAAATAAAGAAAGAAGTGAAAAATAAAGAAAGAAGTGAAAAATAAAGAAAGAAGTGAAAAATAAAGAAAGAAGTGAAAAATAAAGAAAGAAGTGAAAAGAAAAAAGAAGAAAAGAAAAAAAGAAGAAAAAAAAAAAGAAGAAAAAAAAAAGAAAAAAAAAAAGAAAAAAAAAAGAAAAAGTGAAAAAGAAAAAAAAAAAAAAAAAAAAGAAAAAAAAAGAAAAGTGAAAAAAGAAAAGAAAAAAAAAAAAGAAAAAAGAAAAAAAAAGAAAAAGTGAAAAAAAAAAGAAGTGAAAAATAAAAGAAAAAAAAAAAAAAGAAAAAGTGAAAATAAAAAAAGAAAAAAAAATAAAAAAGTGAAAAAAAGAAAGAAAAAAATAAAGAAAGAAAAAAAAAAAAAGAAAGAAAAAAAGTGAAAAAAAAGAAAGAAAAATAAAGTGAAAAAAAAGAAAGAAAAATAAAGTGAAAAAAAAGAAAGAAAAATAAAGTGAAAAAAAGAAAAGAAAAATAAAGTGAAAAAAAAGAAAGAAAAATAAAGAAAAAGAAAGAAAAATAAAAAAAAATAAAAAAAGTGAAAAAAAAAAAGAAAAAATAAAGAAAAAAAAAAAAAAAAAAAAAGAAAAAAAAAAAAAAAAAAAAAAGTGAAAAAAGAAAGAAAAATAAAGTGAAAAAAAAAATAAAGAAGTGAAAAAAAAAAAAAAATAAAAAAAAAAAAAAAAAAAAATGAAAAAAAAAGAAAAAAAAAAAGAAAAAAAGAAAGAAAATAAAAAAAAAAAGAAAGAAAATAAAGTGAAAAAAAAAGAAAATAAAAAAAGAAAAAAAAAAGTGAAAAAAAAAAAAAAAATAAAGTGAAAAAAAAAAGAAAAATAAAGTGAAAAAAGAAAAAAAAAAAAAAAAAAAAAAAAAAAAAAAAAAAAAAAAAAAGAAAAAAAAAGAAAAAAAAAAAAAAAAAAAAAAAGAAAAAAAAAAAAAAAAAAAAAAAAAAAAAAAAAAAAAAGAAAAAAAAAAAAAAAAAGAAAAAAAAAAAAAAAAAGAAAAAAAAGAAAAGAAAAAACTCCAAAAAAAATAAGAAAAAAAAAAAAAAATGAGAAAAAAAAAAATTCAAAAAAGAAAAAAATAACTGAACAGTACTAAAAAGAAAATATCCCTAGACATGAAAAAAGAACAAAAAAAGAAAAAAAAAAACAGGGCAAAAAAAAAAGTAAAAAAAAAAATGAGATATCCTAGACATGGACATTGAATGAGAACAATCTACCCCCATAGAATTAAATTACATTATAATATAATTATTATTGCCTCATGGAAACAGGGCAAACCAATAACTGAACAGTACTAAAAAGAGAACAAGACGAGATATCCCTAGACATGGACATTGGAATGAGAAACAAACCCCCCATAGATTAAATTACATTAGATATAATTATTATTGCCTCATGGAAACAGGGCAAAATAACTGAACAGTACTAAAAAGAGAACAAGACGCGATATCCCTAGACATGGACAGTGGAATGAGAACAATCTACCCCCCCGGAGATTAAATTACATTATAATATAATTATTATTGCCTCAAGGAAACAGGGCAAGCAATAACTGAACAGTACTAAAAGAGAACAAGATGAGATATCCCTAGACATGGACAGTGGAATGAGAACAATCTACCCCCATAGATTAAATTACATTATAATATAATTATTATTGCCTCAAGGAAACAGGGCAAGCAATAACTGAACAGTACTAAAAAGAGAACAAGATGAGATATCCCTAGACATGGACAGTGGAATGAGAACAATCTACCCCATAGAGATTAAATTACATTATAATATAATTATTATTGCCTCATGGAAACAGGGCAAGCAATAACTGAACAGTACTAAAAAGAGAACAAGATGAGATATCCCTAGACATGGACAGTGGAATGAGAACAATCTACCCCCATAGATTAAATTACATTATAATATAATTATTATTGCCTCATGGAAACAGGGCAAGCAATAACTAACAGTACTAAAAAGAGAACAAGATTATCCCTAAAACATTGGAATGAGAACAATCTACCCCCAGATTAAATGAGATTATAATATAATTATTATTGCCTCAGAAACAGGGACAATGGAACAGTACTAAAAAGAGAACAAGATGAGATATCCCTAGACATGGACATTGGAATGAGAACAATCACCCCGGAGATTAAATTACATTATAATATAATTATTATTGCCTCATGGAAACAGGGCAAGCAATAACTGAACAGTACTAAAAAGAGAACAAGATGAGATATGCCTAGACATGGACAGTGGAATGAGAACAATCTACCCCCATAGATTAAATTACATTATAATATAATTATTATTGCCTCATGGAAACAGGGCAAGCAATGACTGAACAGTACTAAAAAGAGAACAAGATGAGATATCCCTAGACATGGACAGTGGAATGAGAACAATCTACCCCGGAGATTAAATTACATTATAATATAATTATTATTGCCTCATGGAAACAGGGCAAGCAATAACTGAACAGTACTAAAAAGAGAACAAGATGAGATATCCCTAGACATGGACATTGGAATGAGAAACAATCTACCCCGGAGATTAAATTACATTATAATATAATTATTATTGCCTCATGGAAACAGGGCAAGCAATAACTGAACAGTACTAAAAAGAGAACAAGATGAGATATCCCTAGACATGGACAGTGGAATGAGAACAATCTACCCCGGAGATTAAATTACATTATAATATAATTATTATTGCCTCATGGAAACAGGGCAAGCAATAACTGAACAGTACTAAAAAGAGAACAAGATGAGATATCCCTAGACATGGACAGTGGAATGAGAACAATCTACCCCGGAGATTAAATTACATTATAATATAATTATTATTGCCTCATGGAAACAGGGCAAGCAATAACTGAACAGTACTAAAAAGAGAACAAGATGAGATATCCCTAGACATGGACAGTTGGAATGAGAACAATCTACCCCGAGATTAAATTACATTATAATATAATTATTATTGCCTCATGGAAACAGGGCAAGCAATAACTGAACAGTACTAAAAAGAGAACAAGATGAGATATCCCTAGACATGGACATTGGAATGAGAACAATCTACCCCCCGGAGATTAAATTACATTATAATATAATTATTATTGCCTCATGGAAACAGGGCAAGCAATAACTGAACATTACTAAAAAGAGAACAAGATGAGATATCCCTAGACATGGACATTGGAATGAGAACAATCTACCCCCCGGAGATTAAATTACATTATAATATAATTATTATTGCCTCATGGAAACAGGGCAAGCAATAACTGAACAGTACTAAAAAGAGAACAAGATGAGATATCCCTAGACATGGACAGTGGAATGAGAACAATCTACCCCCGGAGATTAAATTACATTATAATATAATTATTATTGCCTCATGGAAACAGGGCAAGCAATAACTGAACAGTACTAAAAGAGAACAAGATGAGATATCCCTAGACATGGACATTGGAATGAGAACAATCTACCCCCGGAGATTAAATTACATTATAATATAATTATTATTGCCTCATGGAAACAGGGCAAGCAATAACTGAACAGTACTAAAAGAGAACAAGATGAGATATCCCTAGACATGGACAGTGGAATGAGAACAATCTACCCCGTGAGATTAAATTACATTATAATATAATTATTATTGCCTCAAGGAAACAGGGCAAGCAATAACTGAACAGTAGTAAAATAAGAACAAGATGAGATATCCCTAGACATGGACAGTGGAATGAGAACAATCTACCCCCCTAGATTAAATTACATTATAATATAATTATTATTGCCTCATGGAAACAGGGCAAGCAATAACTGAACAGTACTAAAAAAAGAAAAAGAGAACAAGATGAGATATCCCTAGACATGGACAGTGGAATGAGAACAATGAACAGTACTAAAAAGAGAACAACCCCCATGGACATAATGATTAAATTACATTATAATATAATTATTATTGCCTCATGGAAACAGGGCAAGCAATAACTGAACAGTACTAAAAATAGAACAAGATGAGATATCCCTATACATGGACAGTGGAATGAGAACAATCTACCCCTGGAGATTAAATTACATTATAATATAATTATTATTGCCTCATGGAAACAGGGCAAGCAATAACTGAACAGTACTAAAAAAAGAACAAGATGAGATATCCCTAGACATGGACAGTGGAATGAGAACAATCTACCTGTATAGATTAATTAAATGATTTAATTCAAAATTTTCTGAAGATTACCTGGATTAACAGACTTTTGAAAAAGGTTGGAGAGCACATCAGCCAGAATGAAGATGCTTTCTTTTGTACGATTCAGCCTATTTTTATGTAGAATTATAGGAAGTGTCAAATCCTGGTCATTGGACAACTTGTCTGCATTAGGGCCATCTGGTTTTCAGACAATGGAAGAATCTCGGGAACTTGAGATTAATTATCAAAAAGTAGTTGTACATCAATGTCAGAATAATGGTAAATTGTTTCTGTAAGGAACATGCCATGAAGGTCTGTACAACTATTTAGGTAAGGCATGAATCTGCCAAACCATTTTTTACC